GCCCTCCCCGGGGTGGGGGGAGGCGGGGGAGGAGGGAAGGGAGGGCTTCTGGGGCTCCTCTCCCTCCCACAACACTGAGGGGGGGTGAGGTGAGGCGAGGCTGCGGCGGTACCACCCTGGGCCTCCTGGGGGAGGGGGCTGGGAGGGCATCGGTCCGTCTGCAGACACCGAGAACCAGGGGCGGGAGCCTGCCTCGATGTGGGCTTCTCCCTCGGACTCCGCCTGGGGACGCCTGCCCCCTGCCTCCTGCCCTGTTTGGGTTCCCTGCGCCCACCCTACCTCTGCCTGCTCATCTCTAACCTTCCCTCCCCCTTCCCCTTGAGTAAATGCAATGACACATTCTCCCAAATGCCAGCGAACTGGCCTCAAAGCAAGTGATGGTGTTTTTCCTGCTGCCCTTTGTCTGGGCTGACCGCCCCCCTTGCCTATTGTCCCGCTGCTTGTCCCATTTCCAAAAGCTGGAGCTCTGTGAGGCGCCAGAGGCTGGGGCAGGTGACTAACCAGCTCACAATGCCCCCTGAGGGGGAGGAAGGGGGCACGAGGGCCCACTGCCCAGCTTCTCTTTTTAGTTCACAAGGTTCTTCATTCTTCTTCCCAGTGACCAGGGAGAGGGCACATGGGTGGGGGATTTGTAATTCATTAATCAGCACGAGGCACCGGACCAGTTTCAACACCAGAGGCTTCGCTGGTGACTCAGCGAGAATGCGAAGATTCAAGGCCATGGACAGAGCGAGCATCCCGATTGTAAAACACTTCCCCATTGAGACATTTGGCACCCTCCTTCCTTTGGGGTTTTGGGTTGTTGGTTTTTCCGGTGGTGAGGTAGGTTTGGCTGTGGAGTGCTCTCCCTCCTTCCTCCCCTCCGGTCTGGGTTGGGACTTCGCTGGGCTGGAGACCTCTGGGACCCATAAGACCAAACCCTCTCAAGAGGGTCTCTCTTCCTCCCCCTTCCTCCCTCTCCAAACTGTTGCCAGGAAGAGTGACCTTGTGCAGAGGAAACAGCTGTCATCTGGGGCTTGTACACAGCCCCACTTTGTGATTTGTCTTGGGGGACAGTCATTGGGTCCTCAAGCCTTGGGTGTCCTAGAAGCAGCATACCACCAATTAAATCATTTGGTAATAAGTTGCTTTGTTGTACCTGTTGTTTCAAAGGGGGAGAGGCGGATGGCAGCAGACCTGGAAGGTAATGCTCCGTCTGGAGTGGCACCATACCTTCATCCCCTACTCTTGCCTATGCCCCTAAGAGGGTACTCTGCCAGTCCACCACAGCCCCTCCAGCCTGTGGGTCAGAGTAGGCATCATGGTCATGGCCAGTTCCCAGGACAGCTCTTCTCTTTTCTGTACTGGAGAACTGGGTGGGGGGGTGGGGGGGTGGGGAAGAAGTTTGTTTTCAATTACCTCACTGGAGTGGGACAGACTTTGTTGTTGGGTTGTTCTCTTTTTTTTCCCCTCCCTCTCTCTTTCTTTCTCTCCTTTCTTTCATTCTCTCTTCCTTTTTTTTTTTTTTTTTTTTTCCTAAACAAGGAGAAAAAGAGCTGAGAATAGAGAGCTGGCCTGGGGTGGGGGTAGGGGACTTTCTGGAGCATTGGTAGCAGCTCTGATGAAAAGCCCCTTGGAGGGGCCCTTGTGAAAGTGCTCAAGGCCTCCTCCCCCACCTTCTCCCCACCCCCAGCAGCCAGGACTCTGGAGTTTCAATGACATTCTTGGCCTAGGAGCCCAACAAATCTTTTAATGCCCATGCCCAAGGTCAAGAAGGCATATGCCCACCGGTGACTGGTTCCCAAGCTGCAGGGAGGTCCCCCTAGCAACTACCCCTTCCGAGAGAGGTAGCTAAGTAGGAAAGGGGAGAGGGTGAGGGTGACCAGGAGCAGCTTGGGCCCGCTCCCCTACGCTGAGCAACTCCACAGCTTGCCCCTGGTGGAGAGGCTGTGCAGACAATGTGGTTTGGATTTAGCTGAGCCCCCTCAGCACCTTATAAAGCACCTTGCTGAGTCAGGGGGAAAGCAGCCCCGATGCAGAGAAGAGGAGGGGGCTGGGAGAGAGAAGGAACAGGGGCTGGGGAAAGGGGGGGCTGAAGGAAGAGGAGGAAGAAATGAGAAGGGACCGAAAAAGGAAGAGGATGCACAAAGAGGCAAACAGTGGGAGTGAGAAAAGGGGGAGGAGGCCGGAGCTGAAGGAGCAAGATGGGGAGACATTGGTGAGGAAGAAGGACTCCACAGTAGAGTGGCGGACATCCACGATGCTGCCCCGCCCTGCCATAGGAAATGTCCACCTTACAAGTCTCCAAGGCATGGATTTGCAGGAACTGAGGGCAGCAGCTTGGAGCCTAGTGGGAACAAGTTAATCTGCTTTCCAGGCAGCCCTCAGGGCCCCCCAATTTGCCTTTGATTCTTAACATAGTGACCCACAAACTGGGAAAGTCATGTTTTCCCTCTGCCTCTTGTCCAGACTTGCCGCCCTGCCCTCTCCCCTCACCCAGTGGGGGCTAAGCCTCTCCCCTCCCCCTCTCCCACACTGCCAAAGGGAAAATCAACTCCATCTCCAAGCCGCCTGTGCCCCTCTGCCATGTCTGGGCAAAGGCAGCAGGCTAGGAGCTGCCAGTTGGGGTGGGGTGGGGGCTGGAGCAAAGGCTGTGCCTCACTCTGCCAAGTCAACAATGGGGGTGGGCTGCTGAGATTTGGGGTAGAAGAAGGAAAGTGGGGCAGGAGTGGCCCCTGCAGGGTTTCTGTGGGACAGAGTGGAACAGGTGACTGTCCTCTGATTTCCAGCTGGGGGCTCAGGAAAGCCCCTGCTCCCCAGTGATTCTCAAATAGAACCTTGTTAGGGCCCTTCCAGCTCCAACAGCCCGGGAGCAAGGGTGAGGATAAGAGTGGAAGTTGGAGGAGACATCATCCCCAACTTCCAAATGAGCATCCTCAGAAGGAGAAAAGTCCCATCTTGCTGTGGGATATTGTTCCAGTGCTAAGTCTAAAAAGACAGAGAAAGGACAAGGAACAGCCACACCTGCCTTCAAGAATTTCAGTCTTGGGCCAGCAATCAGCCACAGGTGGTAGTGGGTGTCTTTAGGGCCAAAGAGGACAATGCAGATAACTTCCAGAAAAGGGGAACTTTGGGGTAAAAATGCAGTGGCCTGAGCAGGGAGGGTCACACCAGGCACTGCCACATGGCTCCCTGCAGCTGGATAGGGCCAAGCTAGGAGTCAGGATACCTAGCTTTTAATTGGCCAGTATGGACAAGTCTGTCACCTCTCTAGGATGGAGTATGACCACCTCTGTCCTCCTTTCCACAGGATGGTGGGAGTTTTCAGTGACGACGGGAACACTGGTTTGCCAGCTCCTTTGACCTTCCACAGGAAGGTGGCAAGTCAGGCACCAAGAGGTGTGGCTGAGTTGGGGGGGGGGCAGAGCTGGCACAAGGTAATGATTGAGCTGTCCTCCAAGGAGTGTAGGTGAGTCAATGTCACCTCAGAAACTGGCTAGTGTCCCACCCCTCCCATACTCCCACTTTCTCTCCCTTCCCCTATAACTGGCATCCTCAGGAAAGACTCCAGGTGCCCCACAACACAGTGTCCTGCCCAGCCATGGAATTGGTTTTGAAGGGACCCTGGCCCGAGAGGGTCCAGATTCCTGAACTAGGGAAGCCTCTTCTGACAGGTGAACAGAGGGTGGGGTCAGACAATCCC